GTCGCCAAACCCTAACACCAGATCTACCTCTCACTCAACCTTCTCTCCCCAAACCAAATCGTCGACTTCTTCTTCCACGCTTGCCTCTCTTCTTCTTCGAGTCTGTCTTCTTCTTCGTGGCTCTCTCTCTGTCACACTCGCTCTCTCCCTCTCTCTCTCTCTCACACACACACACACTTTACATGCACAGCTACATATTTATTGCTCAATGTTTCTAAGTATGTATTGAACTTTTGGGTTTCTGGGTTTGTATATCCATGAATTGAATTTTTTGGGTTTTTGGTTTTGTATTTCTATGAATTGAAGTTTGTGGGTCTTGTTTCTTTTCCTATTTTTTGTTTCTTTGTTTTTCCATTTTGTGTTTTGGGCTAAATTTATACATAAATGGTGAAAATCCAAGAACATACTTCACTGCGCATTTTGTATGGAGCTATTTATAAATTATATGTATAAATATTGGTTTTTTGTGCGTGCATTGAATTCTTGGTTTTTGTGTGGCAGAATTGGATTTCTGGGAAATTTCCTTTTAAAATTATATTGTGCTTGTGGTTTTGTAGCATAGCAATTATTGGGTCTGCAAGTTTGTGGAGTTTTTATTTTTATTATTAATTATTAATTATTAATTTTTATAATGTTCTTGCGCTATTATCTGTGTCTCTATTTCTTTGCTGACATATTGTTTATTTTGCTGTTGATATAGATATATAGGAAGATAGGCGAGAAGTATGGAGTGGAGTACTCAGAGGCTGAGATTTTGAACAGATACAGAAGGGCTTAAGAGCAGCCTTGGGGTAGATCTCGTCTCAGGTCTCTTCCCATTTTTATTCCCCATTTTTCTATTTTTTTTTGTTCTTATACTGGGTGATAAGGTTTGCAATAATCCATTTAAGAGTAAATTTTACGTATTTACTTTTTGATTCACCATGGTTGTCATGAATTTCTGTCTCCTCTTAGTTCTTGCCTGATTTAGTTTCTGAGGAGTTGTTCAGAAGTGTTGCACTACAAAGAACCCGCAATGGATGAGTTTAGCTACTACAAAGAACCC